CCATGCTGCTCCCACCCTGTCCTTGCAACTCCCAACCCTGCCTCCATACAGTGCCTTCCTGCTGCCTTCCCCATTAGCCGGGTGCTCTGTACTGATAATCAGATCCTTCTGGGATCACTGTGAGCTCAAGAGTCTCTCATCTCTGCAGTTTTCCTGGCTCCTGATGCTCTGAGTTTCCCCAAAGGAATTTCCTGAAGCAGCTTCTTTACCTCAAAACTTTTCTTCCCCAGCAGCAGTGGCCTTCAGCACTGCCATCCTCCACAGCAGCTCATTGCAGGAGGAGCCTGCAGCTGGAATCTGTGGCTCTTCAGTCCCAGCTATTCCAGCCCCCCGGGCCAGAGCACTGGGTTAGAGACATAAAAGGCAGCTGGGAGAGCAGAGGGGAAACCTAGGTCTTGGGGACTGATGCACTCATCTTGAGCTGCAGTCAGCACAGTAGGGCTGAGTGAATTGGGCAATTATTTGGTGACAGACTGCAGGGAGGGAGCGGGGCCAGGATGTGAGCGTGCAGCCCCCTCTCACTGCATCCATATCCAGCCCTGGCCATTTGGCACTGCCTCCCAGAGCAGAGGCCACGCAGGCAGTGCAAGCTCTGTCAAGGAAGGACCAGAGGCCAGGTGACCCTGGCAGGGTGACGGGGTCACAGGAGCCCTCAAGGATGGGGGCTTCCTTCCCTAATCTTCATGGATCAGAAGCCTGTTCCATGTTCAGCCTGAGTGAGCACAAGAGCGAGCGACAGACAAATTGAGACGGGTGCCCGTGAGTTTCGGCTGGTTTTAATACTGTCAGAGATGTGCCTCCAGGGGGCACTGCCTTCCTGGGCAAGACTCCACTGCTTCCACACTAGTGACCCCCGCCTCCCCCCACCAAGTCCATCTCCCTCCCAAGCACACGCAAGGCCCTGCTCCGCATCACACATTGTGCCAGACCAGGTCATGGAAAAAAATACCTCTGCAAGCTTTGCCCTTGGCCAGCTGGTTGTGTCCCCATGCTACTAACTGCTCTGCCGGTCCCCACGACAGCCAGCTAGCCACATCATGTGGTGCCTCCTTTCTCACCCCCTTACCCATAGGAATCAATGGACCAGCATTGCCCTCCATAAGCTTTCATGAGACAGGCCTCCAGAATCATGAGATTTAAAAAATGATGGTTGGGGTTCTGTTTGTTTGGCTTCTGCATTTGGAGCATGCAGGTGTTGCATTTTCAAGCTTCACTCTGCTAGCACGGGGTCTAGAAACTACCTCACTGTCCCCCTTTCAGTGACAGCTGAGACTCACACCAGCACCTTGGCCCCAGAGCAGAGCCTGGAGAAAACTCTCCAAACGCTGGGACACATAGGAGAGGGGCATCACTACGGGCTAGGAGTTTGGACGGTTCCAGAGGCTGTGAGGTTAAGAGGCTGTGATAGGCACCAACCTCATAAAGGACCGTTTCTGCCAAGGGAGAAGGAGAGGAATAAAGACACTACTGTTCCTGAGGCCCCAGGGCCATCACCATGGGACTGGCACCTGGGAAAGCAGGCAGAGCTCGTATGCAAACCAAACAGCCCTGGCTGAACACTGCCTCGTAGCAAGTGAAGGCTGCTCTCTGCCCTGAGCAGATCCAATGCCCCAAGTGCAAGGAGGCTCTTATGGAAGGACAGTTTAGTCCAGAAGCACAATACATACCCCTTGCCCCAGTGTCATCTCACACACGGCACCACGTTTCCCCTGTGCTGAGGACAACACCACGGGCTTTACTGAATGCACAAGGTCTCAGAGCCCCTTAGCACACCCCAGTCAGCTCTATGTGTCAGCCCCTCCTTGCCAAGTGCTGCTGAAGAGACTTCAGGAAAGCTGGTGGGGAACCTCAGCTCCTGTTCTGGAAGCTGTCTTGGGACTTGGTGTAGCAAAGCACCAGAAACCAAGTGCATTTGCTGGCTTGGCCCTTTGGCCTGGTGCAGTCTGGGGGCTACCAGCTTCACCAGGCCAGCTCCAGAACAAGGGCTGCAGGCAGCAGAAGGCAGGGTAGATTTGCACCTTATAAACCAACCAAAGTAAATAGATCCGGGGCTGCTTTGAGTGGCTGGGGAGGATTTTACCATACAGTGTCTGGCAGCCTGGCTGGCCTGGTTCTTCACAGGCCTCATACTAAACCTTACATACATGGGAAGCACAAACAGGCAGGCAGACAGCATTCCCCCCACGTCTGACCCCTATGGAAGAGTCTGACCTGAGGAATTACGAGCAGGTCCTGGGCATTGTTGGCTATCCTCCCCACCCCGCAAGCTTCTTCCCTAGCTTTGCACAGGCAGACGCTGCATAGCCAGCTGCCCCACCGGCCAGCACCAATCTTCCCTGGCTGACGCACCTTAAGGACAGGGGCAGGTTCTGCCAGACAAAGCCGGACACTGGGTCTGAAAACAGGTCCTTGGCTTACAGCTGCCCCCCCACACCAAGGCCCTGTCTTCTGACAGAAGCCATGCCCCCACCCCTTCTCATCACTCTCCTGGCACTATGTGGACATGACAAAACAAGCCTGTTAGTGCTGCTGCGTGAGGCAGCCTGCATGCAGTAGAACGATCTGCACCAGCACTGAGTCTTCCCAGGAGCCCTTCTGGATTGCTATAGGAGCCAGGGAACAGGGAGCCCTCTCTACATCCTCCTGACACACTCAAGCATGGATATAGCACCAGGGGGGGAAGACAGCTGCTTGCCCATGCTTCAGAGATGGAGGCAAGCGGTGACCGTATCTGCTCCGGTCACCTCTCCCCAAAGCTCACCCGAGCTCCTAGGCTGACTACATAGAAGGTGGCTGAGGAGCCTTCAGTGGAAGCAGAGCTAGGAGTTTTCAGGGTCCCAGGCTGCAGGGCCCTGGATGGAGAACAAGTGAAGCAACTTCTTAGGGCCGAGGACAAGGGCCGCCCCAGGGGAGTGGCCCCAAAGTGCAGTGCTGCAGGCCCAAGGTGGACCGGGGGGCCTCTGAGTGCTAGTGCAAGTACAGCAGCCCCGGCAAGGCAGGGCCATCGCATTCTCTAAAGCGAAGCGAGGGGGGCCCCGCGCCTTCCCTTGAGATTTCTAATGGCTTCAGCTAGAGCAGGACGACACCACATGCCCACCGCCGCTGCCCTCCCCACCACAAGGGACGGGAAGCAAAGACATAGGCGCAGGGCGGCATGAGCGAGACGTGGAGAGGGTGTGATACAGCAGGTGTGCAGGGCAAGGGCTGGGGGATCAGCCCAGTCCTTCCCCTCCACGCCACCCTCCCCTCCAGAGATGGGAGACTAATCATCACAGCCCAGGAGCTCCACGCGCAGCGTGATGCGGTTGTGCCAGGCCACAGGCAGGATGCGCACAAAGCGGGTGTAGAAGGGCGTGTCGAACACGTTTTTCTTGTGCAGGCTGTTGTCGCTGTTCCCATGGAAGATCTATGGAGGAGGAGAGAGCCATTGAAATGAAAAGCAGGTAGTGCAGGGAAGGAGCTGCCATACATGTGCCTTGGGGAGCTGCCTAAAGGCCTTATTGGGCATCAACCTGCACCTCCCACACACCCAGGCAGTGAAGTCAGTGCAAGAGTCCCCTGCCCCCACTCATCACAGGAACAGGTGCTCTGTCCTTTGCCCCTCCCTGCTATTAGCCCCAGCATCACCAGCAGCTCCTTGGCTAGCAAAACCCTCAGACAGGAGCAATGCAACCCTGTCATCACCCCAGCTATGGGCTGCACTGCCTCAGCCCCCCAGTCCCACTGACATGCTGGAACCAGTCCCCCACTGGCCTATGAAAGCCCCTTCCCTGCCCGCACCTTGGTGGTATTTGCCTGGCTGTCCTTGTAAAGAGTCCAGGACCGTCCATCGTCGCTGTAGGCCACCTTGTAGGCTGCCACGTACTGAATGTGCCCAAAATCCCGTGCCCCTTGGGTGACAATGCCAGTGACCTTCTTCTGTGTCTGGAGGTCAATCTTGGAGACAAACAAGGCAGAGATAAAGCAGACTCTCCTCCTGCGAGTCTGCCCTGCTGCTCATGAGAGCTGACTGAGCCCACCAAAGGTGGGGGGGGGGCTGCCTGAACCCCTCCTCACTGCTTTGCTGATGACCCCCCATCCTAACAAGCTTCAAGTAATGATATTGGCCAAAGACGCACAACTGCCCACAAGGATCCTCTCTGCCTGCATGGCCAGACAATGGATCATGGGGAAATTCTGCCCCAAATCTGCTCCTGTGTGTAAAGGGCTAGAAAGGTCCCTGGAATTCACCCGGTGCCAGAGAACCAGCACAGACCGCCCCAGGTTGCCAGACAGGGCAGCCCCTAAAAGTGTACCAGGGCATGGCCAGCAGCAGCAGCTGGCAGCTCAGGGCTGAGAGAGAGCTGGAGCACTGTGCTGCCCAGGGCCATGGAGCAGGGCAGTCAGGAAGGACAGGAATGGACCAGCTGCAAAGCAGACCAAAGTGGAGAAGGCAAAACCCTGCCTGAAGTTTCCTTTGCCTTCCCCCAGGCTGGGCATGGCCTCCTCCTGCAAAACCAATCTCACCCTCTGCACCCAGCCTCTCCCCATACACCTAGGGCTTTCATGTCCCTCTCCTAGTGTGTTCAGTCACTAGCAGGCTGAGCAGCCATTCATTGAAAGACTTTTCCCAGAGAAAGAGGTCAGAGAAACCCAGACTTGGGGCTAAGGGAGGCTCCAACCATGGGGAACAGGGACATGATAACACTACAGGGGACAGTGAAGAGGGGAAATGCCCAGGTCCCAAGGACAGGACTGTTGAGGACTGTTCAGTGCCCTAGAAGCTGTGCAGCCATGGCACCTGCCTTTCATCTCCCCTCCCCTCAGGTGACCTGCCCCTGGACCAACACCCTGGATGCATGTGGCCTTTCTCCAGGAGGGGTGAGCAGCTGCCCAGAGGGCTCCCTCCACTGGCAGAAGAAAGGGATGGGAGCAGGGACCAGCTGGGAACCAGTGCTGAGTAGGAGGGTCAGGCCTATGGTAGAGGACAGGAGAAGGCCAGGACCAGTTGCCCACTCTGCTGATCAAGGAGTGAGGATGCCAGAGTGTAATGGGGTGGGGAGAGCTGAGGGTCTTCCAATACCCACCCTTCCCACCTGTAGTCAGAGACACAATGATTGTTGTTTAACGATTTTTTTGCCTCTGTCTTCCTAAGTAGGGACCAGAACAGCCACCTCCCTGCTGGGCCCCCCTCAGGCCCTGGGGGAGGCACACCTGGGCCAAGGGTTAGCGAGGATTTAGTTAGGGAGCTTCTGGAGGGGCTGGACGTATTCAAGTCAGCCGGTCCGGGTGATCTCCACCCTACAGTTCTAAAGGAACTGGCTGAGGTCATTGCAAGTCCCCTGGCATGGCTTTACAAGCACTCGTGGTGCTCTGGAGAGGTGCTGGAGGACTGGAAGAGGGCCAACGTGGTTCCCATCTTCAAAAAAGGGAGAAAGGACGACCCAGGAAACTATAGGCCAGTTAGTCTTACCTCGATCCTAGGCAAGC